AGCCTTTGCCTTTCACATCTTATCTCCCACACAATTCCTAGCTGGGCCTTTCAATAAACATAATAATTATTTGATAAAAAATAACTTCCAGTATCATTATAAAATACAGTTCTTGAAAGTGCCCTGAATTATTCCCTCGTCCACACACACCACCTTGATCTCTGAGAGAGACGTGTCCTAAACTTTCTAATTCTTATTAAATTTCCTTGCAAATTGAGGTAGGATTCAGGAGAATTCCTATCACATAGTATGTATTACTAAGGCTTATTTCACTTCAAGGGAATCAATCGTTTACCTTTATTTGAAAAGAAGGCAACATACAAATATAATATTGTTCTTATCATTATCATTATTCATTTCTTTATAGACAGTCATGCAACACAAACCGTAGTATACTATTTAAAAATGATAAAGTAACCATGGAGTTATTAAAAAACAAGTAAACCAGTCCTTTCCTAAACATTTCTCAAGGAAAGGCAATGCACTGACGTCTGAGGAGACCTCAGTGTGGTTTCCTGTGGCTTTTCATATGGGTTTGTAAAAGAGTGCCATACATTCTCCAGAAGAGCCTGGAACACAGATATTGGTAATTAAAAGGCAACTGGATAATGTTGAGCAAACCCATTTATCTCTGGAGCAGGCAATTCCACCGAAGCAACTTGGTCTGATAAGAGAATGTCTCCTTATTATAACTTACTTACTCCCTATAATCTTGAACAAAAATCCGCGCTCAATCTTGAAATTTCTCTCCATCAGCTAAGGATGAGGATATTGATTTCAGCAAGAGATTATCATGCAGATTGCAGGAGTGATACAGTGTTCATGACATTCTGAGTACAAAGAACATTTATTTAAAGTTCTCTGTGAGCAAATGTTATTAGAGTACTTTAAATACATTTAAAGCATGGGTTGCATATGTTATTATGCAGCTCTGCGTATGAAAATAGAATATAGTTATACATATATATATAACACCAGTTGTGGCAGACACTGTTGCCAGCTCACCCGTTTCCCATGCCCCATTCTCATCCCCTGTCTTCCTAACTAAAGTGGCTATAAGAGCTAAATGTGTGTTTTCCCAGGCTTCATGGCAGTAGGGGTGGCATTGTGACACTGTTCTGCCAATAAGACATAAACAGAAGTCAGCTGGGATAGTTTCTGAGAGCACTTTGCTTTTCTTATCAAAGGAATTTGTTCCAGTTACTACCGGCTGCATAACAAACTATCCAAAACACCCATTTATTATGGCATGAAAATGCCCGTTTTATTATGCTGTTGGTCAGGAAATCAGTCAGGACACGGGGGATGCATGGCTTGTCTCTGCTCCATGATGTCTGGAACCGCAGCTGGGAAGACTCAGCACTCAAGAATTATCTGGAGCAGATGTGTTTAACAGAACTTCCTCCGATGATGGAAATGTGCTATATCTGTGCTGTGATAGCCACATGTGGCTGTTGAGCACTTGAAATGTGGCCAGTGTGAATGAGGAACCAAGTTTTTAAAAATTTAATTTAATTCTAATTAAATCGAAATTGAAATAACCACATGTGGACAGCAGCTCCTGAATCGCACAGCACAGATCTAGAGACTTCTTCACACACATGTCCAGCACCTGGGCTGGGGTTACTAAAAGGCTGGGCTCAGTTGGCACTGTTGACTGGACACATGGCTTGTGAACTCCCCCTGCAGCTTCTCACAGCATGCCACCTGCTTCTGAGAGGAAGCAGAGGGATTTTTCTGGAAAGTGGACATTCTAAGAGAGCCACGTGGAAGCTGATTTGCTTTTTATGACCCAGCCTTGGAATTCACAAAGCACCACTTCCACCATACTCTTTTTTTTTTTGGTGAGACAGAGTCTTGCTTTGTCCCCCAGGCTGGAGTGTGATGGCCTCATGGTAGGTCACTGTAACCTCAAATTCTTGGGCTCAAGCCATCCTCCTGCCTCAGCCTCCCAAGTAGCTGGGACTAACAGGTATACACTACCATGCCTGACTAATTTCTTTTTATTTTTTGTGGAGATGGGGGGGTCTCACTTTTGCTCAGGCTGGTCTTGAACTCCTGGCCTCAAGCAATCCTTCCACCTCGGCCTCCCAAAGTGCTAGGATTACAGGCCTGAGCCACCGTGCCTGGCCCCACCATGCGCTATTGTAAGTAATCACAGGCCAGATTCAAGGGGAGGGGATATAACCTCTACCCCATGTCACAGAATTTGTGGCCATTTTTTAAAATCACCACTGGGGCATTTCTACCTTCCTCCTGCCTTGAACGTGAATCTGATGGCAGGAGCTGCAACAGCCTTCTTATAACCATGAAGAAAATCTCAGTTCATCATAGAGATGGGGGCTCTCACCAATGCTAGTAACTGCCTAGGTCTGGTCCATTTTTTAAACCACATTAAGTGTTCTATGACTTGCAGCTCAAGCATCCCCAGCAAAAACACCAACATTACATCTTGAACTTGATTCTCAAAAAAAATAAATCAAAATAAATTTTTTTCTAGTCTAAAATATCAGGGCTTCTGTGTCATTATAAAACCCAGAAATGCTTATTATAGAAAATTTGGAACACACAGAAATAAAGAAGAAAATAGCAATCTTCTATAATCCTGCCACGCAGTGCTAACCATCTTGCTCCATTTCTTTCTGAATAAGTTACTATTGTGACTACAATTTTGCATCCTGCAGTTTGCTTAATATTACATTGTTCCTATTTTCCCCTGACATTAAACATTTGTCATAATCATCATTTTTAATGACGGCGTAGTACAATCCATTCTACAGATTTAGAATAATTAACCATTGCTGGGTGTGTAAATTGCTGAAAATTTCTCTGTATTAAAAACAAACATATTTAATCAATATTTTTATATATAAATCTTTATTTACATCTGTGATTATTTCCTTGGGCTAGATTCTATAAGTGAACTTACCAGGTCAAAGAGAAGCAACATTTTTTAAGGTTCTTAATACATAATGACAATCCACTTTCCAAAGAGATTGTACTACTGTACCCTCCCAGAGTATACTCATTGCACTCTTACTACATTTGTAGCCATCATTGCCTACTAAATTTTAAAAAAAAAAGTTCTTGGCTAATTTGATAGGTAAAATGATATCTACTATTTTTTTTTTCTTGAGACTGAGTCTCGCTCTGTTGCCCAGGCTAGAGTGCCGTGGCATCAGCCTAGCTCACAGCAACCTCAGACTCCTGGGTTCAAGCAATCCTCCTGCCTCAGTCTCCTCAGTAGCTGGGACTACAGGCTTGCACCACAATGCCTGGCTAACTTTTTTATTTTTAGTAGAGACGGTGTCTTGCTCTTGCTCAGACTGGTCTCGAACTCCTGAACTCAAGTGATCCTCCTGCCTCAGCCTCCCAAAGTGCTAGGATTACAGGCATGAGCCACCACACCCGGCCCAGATATCTGCTATTTTAATTTGTATTTCTTTGGTTACATGTAGGATGAACATGTTTTGACATATTTATCAGCTCTTTGAATTACTGTTTCTGTGAATTTTTATCTATGCCTTTTCTCCATGTTTCTATTGAAGGTCTTTGTGTTTATCTTCAATTTGTATGAACATCTTGCATGTTGTGTGTCAAATACGTGACTGAACATGATCCTGATCATAAACCTCACTCTAGAACTTACCCAAACATTTTAAACATGTGATTTAGATGCCTAGAACCTTGATTTCTGATCTACTGTTTAACATTATAAGGTTCTGACCAACTCAAAGGTTACCAGTGGATGCTTACAAACGAAAAGGAAAAACAAAACAGTTCTAATGATCTTTACTCAGGCCTCTTCTTGACTGTTCTGCCACATTTCATATTGCTTACTGGTAACTACTTGAAATATTTCCTTCTGACTTTGAAGACTTTGCATGTTCTTGTATTGACATAGGTTGACCGAGCATGGCTCCCACTTTGTATCTCAGCTTCAGTGGAACATAGTAGAAAAATCATGGATTTGAAATTAGAGGATTGTGTTTCAGTCTTGCTCTGCCAGATATTCACTGGGTACGGCTGCTCTGAGTGTCAGCCCTTATGTAATAAATAGAAGCAATAATTACCCTCAGAGTTGTGTGAGAATCAAATGAGGTGATGCCTGTTAAAATGCTTTGGGAACTATCGAGCCCTACATAGATGTTAATATTGTCTTCCTTTCTTCCTCCCACCCTTCCTCCTTCCCTCCTTCCCTCCTTCTCTCTTTCTCTCTTTCTCTTTCTCTTCCTTCTTTGCTTCTTACATCTGGCAGAAATTCAAGTACCGTTTGATTCAGCTCAAGTAAAAAATATGTGAAATTGCTTTTAAACTATAGGCCAGTATTATTAACACTCTCTTCTGTCATATACAGTGTCCCCAAGTCTATCGTTTCCACCTTCAAAATGCCTCTTGGAATCTCACACCTTGATGTTTTATACTGTTATTTAATTCTTAGTTTATCTATAATAACTTTCCATGCGTTTATGTCCTGTCCCCTCTGTTGGATTCCAAGTGTTTTTAGAGCAAGGATCATGTCTTATACTTTTATGTACCTTTGCACACGAGCTTTATAATGCTTTGCAGTCCATCAATGTTGATTGATTGATGACTTTGCTATGTCACTGCCTAATCCAGTGAAAGAACACAGAATGTTTGAGGAAGGGTAAGTGCTTCAGAGTGGCTGGTGTGTAGGGGTCAGAGGTGACAATCTAGAAAGGAGGCTGCGTGGTAGGCAAAAGCCAGGTTATTGAGGACCTTGTATTAGGAAATTTAGAATTTTGCCTTTAATAGATGAGAAGATGGCTAGGCATCGTGGCTCATACCTGTAATCCTAGCACTTTGGGAGGCCGAGGCAAGAGGATTGCTTATGGCCAGAAGTTTGAGACCAGCCTGGGCAACATAGCAAGACCCTATCTCTACAAAAACATGTAAAAATAAGCCAGGTGGGACCCTGTGCATGCAGATGACATCACCTGGAGCTCAAGAAGGTGCACGCGGATATCCAAGTTCTGACAATGGCCAAGAACAGATTAAGAGGGCAGAAGTCCGGGAATGTATTTCACATAGCTGGCCAAAAAAACTTTAAGGCTAAAAACAAAGCAAAACCAGTTACCACTAATCTTAAGAAGATAAACATTATGAATGATGAAAAAGTTAACAGAGTGAATAAAGCTTTTGTAAATATACAAAAGGAACTTGCACACTTCTCGAAGGGCCTTTCTCTTGAACCTGTGCAGAAAGAATTGATTCCTCAGCCATGTCATGAAAGCGAACCAGTTAATGTTGATGAAGCTACAAGATTAATGGCTCAGTTGTAATACAGTGGTGATATATCTAATTCCCCAAAGAGACCAATAAATTAAATGTTTTATACAAAAAAAAAAAAAATTAGCCACGCATGGTGGTGCATGCCTGTAGTCCAATCTATTCAAGAGGCTGAAGTGGGAGGATCACTTGAGTCCAGGAATTCAAGGTTATGGTGAGCTGTGATCACACCACTGCACTCCAGCCTGGGTGACAGAGCTAGAACTTGTCTCTAAAAAAACAAAAGAAGAAGTAAAAGGGAAGAATTTATTTGCTGGCTCACATCTCCCACTGGTCAAAGGATTCATGCCATGTTAGAGAACTATATTGCACAGGTATATGTCCTATTTCTCCAAGAGACCTGATTTGTCACAAGAGCAGGCCAATAGCTTCTACTGCCTTGTGCCTGTGCCATCCATGGAATGCTTAATAAATATTTGGCTGAACTGACTTTTCAAGTGTCATAAAATGCAGCATTCTGCTATTTGGTCATTTGCATCGCAATGTGCTTTTCCCAATATTTGCTGTTTTATTAACCTGTTAAGTTTTATTATTTGTGCAGTACTTACACAATCACCAGATGATTTCACATGCTCAGTGGCATTTGCATTCTAACGCCAAGTCATTGTTCTTCTATTCTCAATATGGCTAATGTGGAAAAATATTAAACAACATGTAGAATAGCTCTAAGAGATTTGATATTGACCAACACAGGAATGACAGAAATTACAAATGAAGAGAACAAGGGGAAGGAAATAACAGAAGAAATCAGAGAGAGAAAATTGATATACCAATTACTTAAAAATTAAAGAATTGACTAATATAATTAATAAGTTTGATTTAGTAGATATCTGTGTTCTTATAGGACCTTCCAAGAATAGACATTCTTTTGGACTATCCATGGACTGGTTTTAAATTGCCTATGTATTATGTCAGAAAATTTCCATGAATTCTCCAAAATGAAAGCTTTATGACCCAAACTGCCCACAGAACATTGACAATAGAAATTAACAACAAATATAGCAAAACATCTACTTACAATTTGAAAGAACTTTTTGAAATAGCTCTTATATTAAAGAGGAAATCGAAACTGAAATTATGTGTAATTTATAGTTAGGAAATCAAAACTAAAGCAACAGATTGTTTTAGAGTAAGACCAATGTGATTACTATATGCTAAATTCTACAGAATGCTGATAAAGTGATAATCAGAGGAAAATTTATTTCTTAAACACATTTATTAGAAAATGAGAAAATCTGAAACTAAGTTATCTAAGCATTTGACTCAGGATGCTAGAAAAAGAGAAGGACAATAGACCTAAATAAATAGAATACACAAATTAATAAAAATAAAGCAGAAATGGATGAAATGAAAAACAAAGATCAGATGCCTAAAATCAAAAGCTGATGATTGTCCAATAAAATAGATAAAAATTTTACAAGTCTGATCAAAGGAAAATGGACACAAATGGACAATTTTAGAAATAAAACAATAACATAATTATAGAAGCAAAGGTTATTAAATAATTAAGAGCATATTATATACAACTGGATTAAACTTATAATTCTCAGGGAAAAATATAAATCATCTCAACTGACTTAAGAAATAATATCAAATCTAAATAGACCACCAATAATAGAAAAAAATTGGAAAAAAAGTTTAAGATCTACCCACAGAAAAGACACAAGGCCAAGGTGGTTTTATGGCGAGCTCTGTCAAATTTCTGTGTTATTTGACTTTTCAGAGCTTAGGGAAGCATAAAGATCTTACAAACTCATTTTATGAAGTTGGTATAACACTAATATCAAAGCAGACAAGGATAGAGCAACAACAAAAGGAAACCAAAGTCTCTTTTCACTTGAACTGTTCATAAGTTTAAGTTTGCTTATGAACACAGATGAAAAAAATCCTAAATGAAATATTAGCAAATTGAATCAGTGTATTAAAAGTAATGCAAAGATGGTTCAATGTTAGGAAATCTATTAGTGCAATTCACTGCATTAATAAACCAAAGAGGGAGGAAGTGATCATTTCAACTGATTCAACAAAAAGAGCATTTGATAAAATCCAGTACCCTTTCATGATTAAAAACAAAACTCAGGCTGGGCGTGATGGCTCACGCTTATAATCTTAGCACTCTGGGAGGCCGAGGAGGGAGGATTGCGTAAGCTCAGGAGTTCCAGACCAGCCTGAACAAGAGCAAGACCATGTCTCTACCAAAAGTAGAAAAAAAATTAGCCGGGTGTGGTGCACACCTACATGGGAGGCTGAAGCAGAAGGATCGCTTGAGCCCAGGAGTTTGAGGTTGCAGTGAGCCATGCTCACACCATTGCACTCTACCCAGGGCAATAGAGTGAGACTCTGCCTCAACAAAATAAAATAAAATAAAAATAAAAATAAAACTCTTTTAAGTAAAGTAGAGAAGGAAACATCCTCAACTTGATAAAGTATCCATCAGAAAACTACAGCAAATGTTATACTTAATGGTGAAGCATTAGAAGCATTTTCTTTAAAGTCAGTATTGAGACAAACAGAGTTGGTACCATTGCTATTATTAAACAAGCCTGGAGTACCTAGCTATTGTAATAAGACAAGAAAAGGAAATAAAAGGTATACATCAGCATGAAAAGAGATAAAATGGAATTGTTTATAAATGACATGGTTATTTATCCAGAACTCCCAAGACCAATAGCTTATAAGACTCACTACTGCACTTGACTAGTCTTAAAAAAAAAAAAAAAAAGCTTATAAGAGACTTTAATAATATGGTATGTTAGGAAATTAAGCATACAAAAAATTAATAGCTTTTCTATACAACAGCAATAATAAATTAGAAAATGTAATAGAAAAAAGACACCATTTGCATTAATAATAAAAACTATATGGTACTTTGGAACAAAATGTCGAAAAACATACATGACTTATTATGAAGAAAACTATACAACTTTTCTGAAGGACACATGAATACTGAATATATAGAAAAACAGGTTATATTCCTGGATAAAAAGACTCAGTATTAAAAAGATATAATTTTCCTCTGAATTAATTCCTAATTACCTTCCAGTGGGATCTTTTATGGTTGTGCTGATTCTAAAATTCATCTGGAAGAGTAAATGTATAAGAATAACCAAGAACATTTTGAAATGGAAGAATCATGAGAGAAGCACTTCCTGTTATATGTCAAGATATACAACAAAGATATCAAAGATATAATAATAATGTGATATTGATGTAGGAATGGCCAAATGGGCAAGGAAACAAAAAAAAGGGTCCTGAAATACATCCTGTATAAATAGGAACTTATTTTATAATAATGATGGTAATTAAAACGTATGGGGGACAATGATGTTGGGACAACCGGCTATCAATTTTAGGGGAAAGAAGTTATATCCCATCATACACGAAAATTCCAGGTGGTTTAAAGATCAAAATATTTTTTAAAGCCCATACATAAGAAATAAATATGCAAACATTTAAAAAAAAATCTTGAGTTGGGGTAGGCCTTTTCAAGGAAGGCTCTAATCCTAAAAGCCAAAGAAAAGATTAAGATATTCTACAGATAAACAGATTTCTCTATTAATAATGGATTAGCAGATAAACATTTAAATCTTTAGTAATATTAAAGAAACATAATGTTAAAAGACAAATGGCCAACTGAGAGAAATTATTTGCAACTTAAGCAAAGAACAAAAGATTAAGATTCATAATATATAAAGAACTCCCACAAACCAACAACTGAAAAATATATAAACCTAATGGAAATAGACCAACTGTAAAATGGAATTGATTCAAAATTACAACTTGTTAATAAACACACAAAATGACAATTTCACTAAAAATGCAGGGAACACAAATAAAAACAATGAGATATTTTGTTTTGTCTTTTGGCTTGATAGAACTTGATAAAAACTGCTAATTGCTAGTGTTGACAAAAAAGAGTGGGGGAAAAGGGTCTCTCACAGGAATTCAAATTGTTTCAGAATGAGGGTCGGAGTGGAAATTGATATCGGTTTGTGGTGAGAACAGAACTGTCCACATCTGTGCAGAAAGGTATGTCTTTAAAGACACTTCAGAACCATTTAGAATTGCAAAGGGAATCGAAGCGACTTAAATGTTCATCAACAAAGGATGGTTGAATAATTTTGATACATTTTATACTTTGTAGGTGTTGACGAGATGGATCCTTACTGATGGAGGAAAATACCGTGTATCAGGCATTGTTCTTCCTGATTCGCATCTGTTTAATTCTCACAAAAACCCTGTAAGGAAGATACCATAACTAGTGCTATTTTATAGATGAGGGAACTGAGGCGTAGGGGTAGGTCATTCATCTGACAGTGCACAGCTCTCTAAGTGGCAGAGCTGGGATTTGAACCCCAGTCATTTTGCTCTAGAGCCTCTGGCTTACCTATCACTTTAAATCATGTTTGCATGACTATGATATCCTGGGAAGATAAGAAAGCCACAGAAAAAGATAGAATAATCTCGTCTTTATTAAAAGTGGAAAATATGTTCTGGTGCATACGAACAAGTGGTTATGTTTGACACGGGGTAGCTTTGGGGGTGGCTAAAAGGGTAGTTCACTTTTGGCTCTATTCTTTATACACTGCTTGAATTTTTCACAGTGAACAGTTACTTTTGTAATTAAAAGTAAAATATTAAATGTATTTTAACATTTATTATACTTATATATTAGATATAATTTTTATATAGTTTATAACTATAGATGTCTTCATATTTGGGGCTTCTTTGTTTATGTAGTATTGGTTTCCAAAAGCTTCCTTTAGTTCAAACTATTTTTTTTTTTTTTTTTGAGACAGAGTCTCACTGTGTTGCCCAGGCTAGAGTGCCGTGGCGTCATCCTAGCTCACAGCAACCTCAAACTCCTGGGCTCAAGCGATCCTCCTGCCTCAGCCTCCCGAGTAGCTGGGACTACAGGCATGCGCCACCATGCCCGGCTAGTTTTTTTCTATATATTTTTAGTTGTCCGATGAATTTCTTTCTATTTTTAGTAGAGGCGGGGTCTCGCTCTTG